AATTTATTATGGTTTATAATGGCAAATGATACTTTGAATATTACATGTTAATAACTTGATTGGAATTATAACCTTGAGTTGACAGTTTGATACTTTGAAAATTTTGAGCCAGCCCTACCCCCAAGGGCTGTAGGGTGGGGCTCAAAGGAGTCAGTGTGCTAAAATTTCTTCATTTTCCTTGTTTAGAATCAGAGGTGCTAGTTTCAAATACTTTTTAGTCTGAAATCTGTATGCTAGATATTGAATAAGGTGGTTTTATTGTTTTTTGTCACTTTGAATAATACTTCTGTTCATGTTAAAAACAAAATTAACTCTCTGTTTAAATATATCAGGTGACCGTTAAGGCCCATGGGCCTCTTGTTATGCTGTAGTGTTTACTCTGAAAAAGATGCATGCACAACATGTAAAAATCTGTGAATTTCATGTTGCCTTGGAGAATGATATGTAGACATGAATTACAGTGTAAGCATGTGATCAATACAAGGCTGATTGCTGTGTTACTTTGTTGATGAATGAGATGGCACGTTATAACATAATTATCCAACTTTGAGTCTAAGACTTCTGCGGAAGGAATTTTAACATTCACAAATAATATATAAAGCTAGGCTGTCTTCACAACTTCTTCAGCTTTTCAAATTGGTAACTCAGATTTTGGCATAGGTCTCTGATTTTGCTGCAATATTTTTTAAGTGTCATTCTTGTTTACATAGAGACATTTGGAACTATTGTAAATGTTTAAACTGATGAATTTTATATTGTTAAAAAAGTGTTCTTCGTTGTTTTAAAAATCATCTCGGAGGAAAGCATCGGTCACTTTATTATTAAAGTCTATGACTAGTTAGGACAGTACATGTACTAGCTTGCCTGGTATATAAGATCACTGCAGTAGGAATTCAAAAACCATACTCATGTCACCTGCATACACATTTGATGGTATATATGTAATATGGCTTGCATTTTATTTTTGTAGAGAATGTGTATATCACATTTTATCATAAATTTGCTTTGTAGTGAAATATTACATATATATGTATAAAAATTGGCGGTGCCATTTGTAGACTTTCGTAATGTTCAGTTATATGATCCAGTCCCAACAGAAAATGATGACTCTATTTTTTTTTAACGATCACGGGGCAAAAAGTTTGACTGAGCAGAGAAAAATTAGTTTATGAAATGCTTTTTGATATCCAATATCTTATCTTGATTTTGAATCATAGGCTCTCTAGATGTCTGACACACAAACTTCCATATAATATACATGTATTATGATGAAGTATGTGTGCTTTAGTAGGAATATTAGCACTGTTATCATTGCGACATTATCAACTTTCTGTACTGGTGCGGCTAACACTGGTCAAAGTGTCTATTTGAGCCTTGCCCTGGTATATTTTAGCCTGGGGCTGTGATGATTAGGCTGCCGGTAGTTATATACACTGATGCTGCTATTTAATGTACTTATATCAGCATTTAGATTAAGGTTGCAGTGAGAGAGAGGTAATGATGTAGTGGTGAACTAAAATGTTACATTTTCAAATATAAATATATACTTTATGAAGTAAGTTAAAAGTGACATTTTTACATAACATTTCAAATTTTGCTGACTAGAATTTATCGTTAGGTATCCATTCCTATCATATAAATCTGTAAAATATTCTGAAAGTAATTTATGTTTTGTGTGTTATTGATCGGAATTCTTGATAAATTGTTAAAAAAAAAGAACCACACACAGACAAATAAAATTATGTGATTTAAGTTAATGAGATTCTGTATGTATGAGATGAGATTGGTAACAAAAATGATTTTGTCATTGTTGCATCTTTAGTTTGCTGTTGGTATATTTATCATAAGTAAAATATGTCTAGGTAGTTGGTAAAATTGTCAGTTTCAGGAGACTTTCCTTATGATGAAAAGTTTTCTAAATTCTGATGTTGACATTATTTTATTGTTCACTTCAGGATGGGTCAGAGTATCCTATCACTCCACCCGTCAAACAGATGCAGGTAGTCGAGATATATGACCCCATACTGGTGAAACCTGCTGAGCTCTTCTTCCCTTGGGACCCACAAGTGCCAATTAGTCACCAGTACCAACTAGAGGTAAGTTTCTGTCACACCTGTAACAACTACAGGTAAGTTTCTGTCACACCTCTAACAACTACAGGTAAGGTTCTGTCACACCTGTACCAACTAGAGGTAAGTTTAAGTCACACCTGTACCAACTACAGGTAAGTTTCTGTCACACCTGTAACAACTACAGGTAAGTTTCTGTCACACATGTACCAACTACAGGTAAGTTTCTGTCACACCTGTACCAACTACAGGGAAGTTTCTGTCACACATGTACCACCTAGAGGTAAGTTTTTGTCCCCTGTACCAACTACAGGTAAGTTTCTGTCACACCTGTACCAACTAGAGGTAAGTTTAAGTCACACCTGTAACAACTACAGGTAAGTTTCTGTCACACATGTACCAACTAGAGGTAAGTTTTTGTCACCTGTACCAACTACAGGTAAGTTTCTGTCACACATGTACCAACTACAGGTAAGTTTCTGTCACCTGTACCAACTACAGGTAAGTTTTTGTCACACATGTACCAACTACAGGTAAGTTTCTGTCACCTGTACCAACTACAGGTAAGTTTCTGTCACCTGTACCAACTACAGGTAAGTTTCTGTCACCTGTACCAACTACAGGTAAGTTTTTGTCACACATGTACCAACTACAGGTAAGTTTCTGTCACCTGTACCAACTACAGGTAAGTTTCTGTCACCTGTACCAACTACAGGTAAGTTTCTGTCACCTGTACCAACTACAGGTAAGTTTTTGTCACACATGTACCAACTACAGGTAAGTTTCTGTTTCAGTTCACATCGGTACCAAATAAGGTAAGTTAAGTCACACCTGTACCAACTACAGGTAAGTTTCTGTCACACATGTACCAACTACAGGTAAGTTTCTGTCACCTGTACCAACTACAGGTAAGTTTCTGTCACCTGTACCAACTACAGGTAAGTTTCTGTCACCTGTACCAACTACAGGTAAGTTTTTGTCACACATGTACCAACTACAGGTAAGTTTCTGTTTCAGTTCACATCGGTACCAAATAAGGTAAGTTAAGTCACACCTGTACCAACTACAGGTAAGTTTCTGTCACACATGTACCAACTACAGGTAAGTTTCTGTCACCTGTCCCAACTACAGGTAAGTTTCTGTCACCTGTCCCAACTACAGGTAAGTTTCTGTCACCTGTAGCAACTACAGGTAAGTTTTTGTCACACATGTGCCAACTACAGGTAAGTTTCTGTTTCAGTTCACATCTGTACCAAATAAGGTAAGTTAAGTCACACATGTACCAACTACAGGTAAGTTTCTGTTTCAGTTCACATCTGTACCAAATACGCCTGTCAACTGTCACCATATGTATTTTATCTTTCATTTGATACTTATATATGACAAATTATTACCAAAAGTTCTTAACAAAACTGGCAAGTTTCATTATCTGATTCCAGGCAACAGGAGGAAGTGGGGAGTACATATGGAAGTCATCACAGCCACAGATTAGCACTGTTAACATGCATGGAGAGATAACTACTGGCCAGACAGGAGGTACCAATGTTACGGCTGCTGACACCAGGAACCAGGCCCACTGGGGTTTGTCCTCAGTAAGTATACAACACACCTGTACAGTATAAGGGAAGCCCACAAGCACAAGTCATCCCGGCACTAACCCTACTGGTTACCTGTCAGGAACAAAGATTTGAATACTTCTAAACAAACCCCCCAAATCTTGTGGAATACATTTTAGACATTCTGGTTCATATTTACAGTAATTTGTTTTCCAACTTAAAAAATCTACTACATATAAGACTCTTTCATGCCCAGGGTTGTAGGATAGGAAAATTCCACCCAAGGGGTTTGAAATAGGGTGTAAGATAGACATTTCCTACACCCCTTTCTTAACCTGGACAGCTTTATCTTACACAAAGGGAAATGAGAGAAAATATGAAATTTCATGTCAGAATATTTATTTTTCCAAGATGTTCTTCCTACAGCATATTCATGAGGATTATAATTACCATGATAACCAGTGACCTCTGTATGTGTCTTGTTATATAAATATATAAATTTGTAATCTTCTTTCTTTGTGAAATAATGTGGAAATCAATCTCACGAAATATTTCCATGATGAAGTTTGCGATTCCAAACAGATGGCTGTTAGCTTATAAAGGACACAGTGTTGAAGTTCAGCCTTTGTATAATATTCAGTATAAGAGCCTTCCTTTGAACACCAAATTATGACCCTTAGGTTAGATCAGAAGTTTTCCTTGTTATCTTAAAAGAACCCTTAGGGGCTACATCATCTATACCGTAATATATGCAAATATTTATCTTTGATGTAGAAGAACTTAGTTTTAGAGGAGACAGGTTCTGATTTTGAGTTATCTGTGCCTCAAAACAACACATTGGGTTCAACATTTTCTAAGGTCTGGGTATTGCCACCGTCTGACATGCAGTTCCGCCCCAAGAGAGTTGAGGCTGCTGTGGGGACAGATCTGGAGATCCCCCTTGCAGTGTTTGCACTGTTTGAAGGTAAGTTGTAAAAGGTTATCACAAGAGTTTTGATGAAGAGTGAAAATGCTACCTAGTTATTGTTTATATCAGAACTAACCCCGTGTTGTATGGTTAATACTGATGACTATTTGTATTGTCGACTGGAAGACTATCACTATGTTGTTACTCACCGAAGTCTTCTTTCCAGGCACTCCTCGGGAATTCAACGACTGCAGAATGATGAGACTAAATGTAACATTTACAGACCAAACTGTGTTCCAGTATCTAGAAGGTAATGAGCATGAAATTTGTAAAAAAAAAAGAAAGAAAAAAAGACAAATGAAGATAATCATTTTCTATTATCTTTATTCTATAAGGTCACCTGATTCAAAGTCTAGGATCTTGACCCTGTTATATCAAGGTCCATTTACAAAGTTTCCTGTGAAATATTCTGCTATTATCTGGGCTCTGCTATACTTTACCAAGGACCTCTCTGTTTTTATACGCCCGTCAAATTTGACGGGAGTATTATGGTATGGCGTTGTCCGGCCAGCCGGCCGATGTGAATTCTTGTTTGTCCAGAAATCTCTTCCTACATTTTTCGACCGATCTCTTTGAAACTTGGTATACATTATAATCATGATATGAAGTTATGTCTCCCTTAAAAGAATTCTGATTCGACAGTTTTTCCAAAAGTTATTGCCTTTTGTTCATTTCAGTATTTGATTTTTGTCCGGCAATCTCCTCCTACATTTTTCAACGGATCTTAGAAACTTAGTAGGCTAAATAATCATGATATGTTGTTGTGTTTCCTTGAAAAGAATTTTGATTCAACGATTTTTGCAAAAGTTATTGCCCTTTGTTCATTTCAGTATTTGATTTTTTTATCCGAAGATTTTCTCCTACATTTTTATAGCATGTAAGCTAACCACTATTAGAATGATGCAGAGAGATCTTATTTCAATGTAAGAGAGTATATAACACTATGGCATTCGACAGGCGTATATTGTTCCGCCCCGCATTACTCTTGTTTCAGTTAAAGTAAATATAAAACAAATGTTACTTTAATGTTATGTCATCTGATGGAGCTGTATATAACAGGTTTCCTGTAATCCTTTCATGATGGTATGTATAGGATGACTTTTGAGGGCATTATCTTAAAGGTCAAGGTCAATCTTCTATTCAGAGAATATTGGAATATTTAAGTTTCATTCATTCAAATCCATTGATGTATATGCACAACAGTATATTTCAATTACGCAATTAAAACTGTTTTCGTTTTCCAGGTAATAATTCCTTGCCAGAGAATGGATGTCGTTTTGTGAAGGTCAATGCTGTAATTCAAGGTCACACAGAGGTGAAGGCCTCCTATATAGTGGGCAACATACAGCTGGAATCCACAGTCACAATTGCTGCCTATGATCCACTTCAGGTAGGTCTGGAAATATTAATTTTAAAACACATTCATTGAAGTAGACGTTCTTTTTACAAATATCTAAATATCCCAGCACTAAAATAGCAGAAATGCTTATGAATAGATGAACATATGTGTGCTACATCAGAATTTTGATCATCCTGACTTATGTGCCAGTCACTTTCAACTTGATATATATCTATATAGGCTGTGGATCCTGAGAAGGAGGCAGTAGTGGCGGTGGGTTCTCTGAAGGAGGTGGTATTCAGGGGCGGTCCCCAGCCCTGGGTCATAGACTCCTCAAAGTACTTCCAGAACTGTAAGTATCACACAACCCAGGGTCACAGACTCCTCAAATAATCATTATGTTCAATCTGCCCTAGATCATGGTTCATAAAGCTCACGAACAGGGATGGAATTCACGTCGGTGCTAGAAAATTAGTAGGAAATAGGTGTTTAGGATTTTCTTACATGCATTAAAAATATTGAAATGTTTCTATTTTCCTTTCACATCATTAAAACTATATTGCAACATATGATCATCCAATCTAATTTGATTTACATCTTATTGAAAATCTACAAAAAAAACGTTCTTGCTATTTATCATATAATGTAACTTATTTGTGTTTTCACTTTACAGTGAGTCCTGAAAATCCTAGCATTGTCAACCAGTATCAGTTAGGGACATTTGGTAACAGTAGTAAGTATCAGTTGGGGACATTTGGTAACAGTAGTAAGTATCAGTTGGGGACATTTGGTAACAGTAGTAAGTATTAGTTAGGGACATTTGGTAACAGTAGTAATTATTTGATAACATTAGTAAGTATAAGTTAGGGACATTTGGTAACAGTAGTAAGTATCAGTTGGGGACATTTGGTAACAGTAGTAAATATCAGTTGGGGGACATTTGGTAACAGTAGTAATTATTTGATAACAGTAGTAAGTATCAGTTGGGGACATTTGGTAACAGTAGTAAGTATCAGTTAGGGACATTTGGTAACAGTAGTAAATATCAGTTGGGGACATTTGGTAACAGTAATAAGTATCAGTTGGGGACATTTGGTAACAGTAGAAAGTATTAGACAGTCTGTTTTATTACAACTTTTGCCTATAGCATTTAATAAATGAGAGTATTTTCTTTTCTGTAATTATGTGTACATCATTTTGCATCAGTTAGTCTGCTAAGTATGTTAGTATATTTACATTCTGTATGCTTAGACCCATTGACAAAAATTACATTCATAAATGCATAACACAGGTGTTCATAGAATCTCAGCACGTGGGAACTGATAGTAACCTGATCACACTGCGTAGTAATACACTACAAAAACTACTCACTCGGAACGACCGAACTAGATGCTTAATTCTTACATCTTAAAATATTATTGAACTGTGCTTTGTGAAATATCCACGTATTCACGTGTCCTGTGCTACAAATAAACATTGAATATGGAACTACATTTTGTTGTGTTATTGTTGTTGACGGTTGCTAAGATCTCTCACGATAGTGTCACATTTCCCCGCGAAAAAACACTGTTCTCGCCACTGCGTTGCACCCGTGTATAAGCAGGAACAAACCCTGTTTATTTGTTTTATTCGTTGTTATATCGATCCACTGAAAGGATTCGTCAATGTAAATATAAGGAATGATATTTATTTTTTCAACATTTATGAGGTCATAACAACAATGGGTTTTTGGACATATTTTACATGAATCGCTAACGCGATTCATTCAATATGTCCATAAACCCATTGTTGTTATGACCTCATAAATGTTGAAAAAATAAAAATCATTCCTTAAATGATCATGATGTTTGACAGGCCTTTCATATTAAGTTTTCAATTATTAGAGTTGATTGACATGATATTTGACAAAACATCTGGTATGATAAAGTTTTCTATTTCTTCAAATATAATGACATTCTGTCATTTTTTCAGGAGGATTCCACAACTTCTTAGTAACATGTAAAGATATTGGAAGACAGGTAAAAAATCTGTGATAGTATTGTTTACAGTATCTGTATTTTGATTTAAATCTGAACTCCATGCACCCCTGGCAATAGTCCTGGGCAGAGATCCTTGAATTAAGCATAAATTGCCCCATTATTTTTCTGACCCAAAACTGATCCCTGCTTGGTTAATGTTGTTCACTGTGCATTTTCTTGTAATGATGCTAAATGAAATTTATATAAAAATTTGAATTTTCAAATGTGATATATAATATGTTGAATTAATCAATATTTACAGTTTTTAACTGCTCATATTGTATGTATTTGAGATATCTTGTTGTTTTGTTGACATTTTATCTAATATCTGAACTATGTTTTTGACACTTCCAGAGATTGATGCTCAGGGTTGGAAATGGAAAAACTGCCAAGAATAAATACCCGGCAACAGAAGAAGTCTCTATCATGTATGTTTGTGTGAATATACTTAAACATGTACCAATTAAAATAATTATACTCTGTCGATTGTAATGACTATTCTAAATATGTTTAGCGAAACTGAGACAAGGAGGCACATTTCCCCATAATATATGGGTCATTGGGTCTTTATTTATAGTGAGGATAAGGGAAAATAAGAAATAAGATCTGTTTCCAAAATAGTAAAAAAAAACAGATCATTGTTATGGAATTGCATTGTAGGATATCAAGTTTTAAAATCTGTTTGACCTTTCAATACTGATTGTAACCTGTTATAACTGACCAGATACAACTGTGCAGCCCCTGTAGAACTACACCTGACACCTCTGGTGAAGATGCCAGACAAAGACCTTCCACCATGTCCAGTCATACGGGACCCAACACAATCAGTAAGTCTGTTGTAGGGACCTTCCACCAAGCCCTGCCTAATCTGACCCCCCCCCCCCCCCCCCCCCCACACACAAACTGGCAAACCTGGCACCTTTCCCTTTGATATACTTACCCTGAAGCACATTGCACCTTTACTTACCTCTGCTTACTCTGGAACAGTAAAACTTTGCACCTTTTCTTACCTGGGAACAGAACGTAGGGGTAAAGAACCAATGTTGAATAAGTGTCGAGGAATGTTTGCATTCATTTTCAGTGTTTCACAAGAATATCTATTGGTAAACAGAAGCCGTCTTATGGTAAAGCAAAGCAATCAACAATAGTGACAATAGTTTTGGAGTTACAAATTCAGTTATGCTTCTCTCCTTTTGTGATTTGTTTAACCTTGGAACCGTAAAACTTTGCACCTTTACTTACTTTGGAACATACCTTGGCTTAGTAAAACTTGTAAAACTATGGACAGTAGGAAAAAATAAAAATAAAAAATAGACTCCCTCGCAACATATGTTCGAGGGGATTAATAGAATCTTCCCCTACCTTTAGGGTGTGATGGAGAAATCTCCAACCCGAGGGTGTTATGTTTTTCGGCTGTAGAGCCTCGGGTTAGACAACCAAAAAAATCACCCCAAGGGTTGGAGATTTCTCTGTCACACCCTCAACGTAGGGGATGATTGTTTTTCTCCCATCCTATTATTTCAGTCACAACTCCACCGACAGTAGTGTAAACAAAAACACATTTGGGGTATGAATTTCGTCATTCACTATTGTTGACGTCACAATTACCGGTGACCCATTTTATTGACGTCGCAATAGAACACGTGCTAATCGGCACGAGGCTATCTCCCCCTAGGTGGTGACAAACTGATCTATCCCGGCTAAAACGGGAGATACACCTGTGAAGGGTGAGAGAAATAGGATTCCGCCTGAAAGTTCGTAACACTCTTTGTTATCACTCTAGCGACTTAATTCCTCAAAGGAATTTCATGAAACATCATACAAGTGTTTTGTATGGCAATGCCTTGAACAGGTTCGTGTTTCAGGTTTCTACAATGAAGGTCAAGTTCACTGTTACTATTTTAAGCTCACCTGGTCTGAAGGACCATGATGAGCTTATGCCATACCGCAGCGTCCGTCGTCCATCAACTTTTCCTTTAAAACGCTACTAGTCCTGAACGGCCAAGTTGATTTTGACTAAATTTGGTCTGGAGCATCCTTAGGCCAAGGGGACTCAATTTTGTATAAATGGTGGGTGTGGCGCCCCTTGGGGCAGATGGGCGGGGCCGAATAGGGGAAATAGGTAAAACCTTCAAAATCCTTCTCCTACAGTAGGGATTAAGGGTTTTTATCCTAATTTAGTCTGGAGCATCCTTGGGCCAAGGGGACTCAGTTTTGTATAAACCGTGGGTTTGGCCCCCCCAAGGGCCTGAGGGGCGGGGCCCAATAGGGGAACATAGCAAATTGTTCTTTAAAATCTTTCTACTTCTGTAGGAATGACAGGATTTGGTCCATATTTGGTGTTGAGCATCCTTGGGTTTTGGGAAAACAATTTTGTATAAACGGTGGGTCTGGTCCCCTTGAGGGCTGAGAGGCGGGGCCCAATATGGGAAATATAGCAAATTCTTTAAAATCCTTCTTCTTCTGTAGGAATGACAGGATTTATTCCATATTTAGTCTGAAGCATCCTTGGGTGAAGGGGTACCAATTTTGTATAAACCATGGGTCTGACCCCCCTGGGGCCTGAGGGGCGGGGCCCAATAGTGGAAACATAGCAAATTATTCTTTAAAATCGTTCTTCTTCTGTAGGAATGAAAAGATTTGGTCCATATTTGGTGTGAAGCATCCTTGGGTAAAAGGGAACCAATTTTGTATAAACGGTGGGTGTGCCCCCCCCCTTGGAACTGAGGGGCTGGGCCCTATAGGGGAAATAGAGGTAAAACCTTTAAAATCCTTCTTCTACCATAGGGATTAAGGGATTTTTTGAAGTTTTGTTATATCTAAAGTACTGGATGGATTTTTCTGAAATTTCTATGTACTTACAGCACCTACCATGGAGTGCTATATCTTTACTTCATACCAATTGTTTTAAACATATTCAGGTGAGCGATACAGGCCCTCTGGGCCTCTTGTTAGAAAAACTTTGTCATTGCTCTACTGACTTCATTACTCAACAGAATTTTATGAAACTTGATACCAGTGTTAAGTATAACAATATCTTGAACAGATTTGTGTTTCAGGTTTTTAGAAATTGTCATCGCTCTATCGACTTCATTTCTCAAGGCATTTCATGAAACTTCTTACGAGTGTTTGGTATGGCAATGCCTTGAACATGTTCTCGTTTCAGGTTTCTACATTGAAGGTCAAGGTCACATACTTTTTTTTAGCTCTAGCGACTACATTTCCCCTTACATATGTCACAATGTGTGAATGCGAGGGGATTTGTATCACATGTGATGCCTTGTTTGTTTTTAGATGACAGGCTGCATATAAGTGCTGATTTTGAGGATTGTGATTATTAAAGTTGTTATGTATCTATTGTAGGTTCCTGTTCACTGTAGTAGAGATTTAGACATATTGGTGACAGTGACTGACTCGGCAGGCAACAAGTTTGACAATATCTCCTCCCTGGAGTTTGAGTGGACACACACTGACCATTCTTTAGGCTCATTAGCCTTGGAAAGTGGTCTGATGAGTGAAGTGGCCACGTCCAGCGAGGGAGTCACCACTGTTAAAAGTAGGACATTGTGGAAGAAATTACTTGATTACCCAAAAGATTTTGTAGGCTTAATGTTATATGTATACATTGTATATTAAAAAAAAATGGATGAAACATTTTAGCATATCACAGCACTGTATTGGAGAAGACAGAATGTATTGTAGATTGAATAAAAATGGAAAACGAAAGACAAAGTCACAGGTTTATCTATATATCTATATAAAATGGAAGTGTTTTCTTGTCAAAGTTTTGTGATTTCTTAAATATTTGTTTTACATGTAGAGTTTCGATTTTGATGATAGAAAAAATCTTAGGTTTGAGCTCTCATAAGAAATATATTCTACCACTATATACTACAATATGTGTAATGCTTCTCTATGATAAAAAACGTTGTTGCCCATGATTGCAGTGTTGATATGCTGCTTTTTTGACAGACTTTCAGACCCTGAATCCTGCTGGTCGGCCTGGATATGTCACCATAACGGCTACTGTGAATCGCTACTCTGACAAGCATCTGAAGGAGGCTGGATCAAGAATAAATGTAAGTTAATGAAAATATACAAGTGTGTAATACTAGAAAATTATATAAAGATTGGTTATCACAAAACAGGGGAAATTGTAAAACTATTACTTCATTACACATTGTTTTAGCTTGTCAAAGTATTTCAGATTTGTCAGGTTCCAACCAGCAGTAATGTTTTGATTTGTGTAGTTTAACTAACCAAGGGATTTCAGATTGTCGGTCTCAGACCAGTAGTAGTGTTGGGATTTCACGTTTGTTTTAACTTGTATAAGAATTTCAGATAATAGGACATGTTGATAAATTTGGTGAGAATAGGTGTCTTTATTATTTCCATGTATGCAACTATTTCTAAGAATATATTCAATGCTGTTATAATACATAGGAAACTATTCTGAAATTTAAAATTTTGTCCAAAAAGTGATGTGAAAAACAGAGGTTTTGTTTACTGTTGCAGGCCCCCATTTCGCCACCCATCAGTAAATCTCTACAGCTGAAGCTGGTGGAGGAAGCGATCGTGTCCCCAGACATGATATCTGTGTTCAACCACCCTTCTAACAAGGTCAGTGAACGAGTGAACAACAGGAAATTTGAAAAAGTAAAAAGCTTACGCATTAAATGTTAATTTCATGTGAGACCTTGATAATTAGCTATATATCTGCAACTTGAAAACTAGATTTGTTCAAAACTATTTTCAATACCCGATGTTTAAGTAGCAATTGTTTGAACTATATTAAGTAGAAATCATAATTTTTATGAATACGGTAAGCCCACATTTCCTGACCATTCCTTTACCTATTTTTAACCTTTCAGGTGACGGTACACATACGGAAAGGTTCAGGGTACTTCTTTATCCATCCAGCCAAATCTGACATTGTGAAGATTGACTACAGCGATCAGAAACATGAGATGCTGGTAAAGTGTTGTGTATTTATATATCTGTCCATCATTAATATAAAAGATATGAAACAAAACGTTAGAATAAACATTAGTAGATTTTAACTGAAATTTGTTGATTTATATGCATAGCAATACTTCCATGAACTTTCACAATTATATAATCTTTGTCTAACCCTATTCCAGGTGAAGCCAGTATCGGACGGTTCTCTGTCTGTGACAGTGTTTGACCTTTGTATTGACGTGCCTGACCCTCCAGTTGCCACAGTGTTTGTGTCGGGTGTAGGAAGTGTCCAGCTGTCTGCCATGGACAAGGTAAGTGTTCGATTTGTTTATATGATACAGGAATCACATTTTTTTTCAAACTTCATTTGTCATTCAACCAATTCAAATCAAAATAACCAACCCACTTTTATACATTTTATATCAGATTTATTTGACTCACTTAAATTCAGTCCAAAAGAGTATGGAAAAAACAATATCATTACTTTGATATGAATATTTAGGTAGAGGTTGGCAAGGACTTTCAAGCCAAAGTGAAGGTGTTGGACATGCATGGTAAACCACTACAGGCTAGCTTTTTCCCTTTGATGGGTCTCCGACTGGTGCCAGCATCTACCATCATCACAGTCAAGTAAGTGTTTGTCAAGATGGAGCCATGTACGGGCATTAAACAATAACAAACCCCTTAATTGGCCTTGCACTGGTTCCAGCTTCAATAATTATCAGTCAACAAAGTGTTTGGCAGGATGAGGCCATGTAGGGGTATAATAAAACAGCATGGTATTACAGGTGAGCTCCATCCCTCAATGGGCCCCATACTAGTTCCAATATCTACGATAATCAGTTGAGTAATTGTGTCTGTATAGGGCCATGAATGGGAAATTATATTATGTATATCACTATGACATATATATGTAGTAATTTTGTAATAATGTAGATTACTTACTTACTTCGGCTGAGTACACATCTTATATAGATGTGTTGTATGTGTGAGGGTGTGTGTGACATGTAGGCATGTGGGTATGCAAGTATGTATAAGCTAGAGTAGATGTTTACATATTTGATTATTATACATTACCCGAAGTAATCATTCTACTCTCTGAATATTGTTTAATACTACCATCAATGCTTTCATGTTAAAATCTATTTCTCTTTATATGTATACCTTATTATCTATGATATCTATTATTTACTTTATTCACTTTGCTTGCCTGTTGTCCAATCCATTTGTTTTTTAAACAATAAAATTTGTTGAAATGAAATGAATTGGAAATATACAACAGTTCAGCTTTTTTGTCCTGATGAGCTTAACATCTGCCATCGCCAGAGATAGGAAAGTATGAGTTAGGACAGGACTTTGAAGATAACATTTTAACGTTTGTTTGATATTCCAAATTACAGGCCTGATCTTGAAGCAACAGAGGATAAGTTCACCTCATTCTACACTGTCCATGGGGCGGTGGTGGGTCACACGTCCCTGGAGGCTCGGGCCACACCCAGGCCTGATGTTACAGTGACCAGTGTAGCCAAGGCTGTAGAGGTGAGTGCTCAGGCTGTCAAACAGCAACATGTGTGTCTGTAGAGCAAAAGACTTGTAGTTCGTTTTTCTAGGTTGTAAGACTACTAAACCGAAAGACTGATAGACCTGAAGAGTTGTAGGCAGTGAAATGTGTAGATTGTGCCATAAAAAGACTATAAAGCTAGTAGACATTGAGAGTTTAAAATAGACTTGTAGCATGTGAGACTTGTAGGTCATAAACTAGTGGAATATAAGGCTTGTTAGTCATTTGTCTAAAAGTACTAAAAGTATAATAGGTTGTAATCATTAGACTGCAATAACAAATACCTAGAATCAACCACATGTATTTTTTGTATAATTTGTGCCAACCCCATTTCACTTCTTTAGTTAAGAAAGTATTCATTTTTTTAGTTTTATAGTATTAAACCAAATTCACTGATTCACATTCATTATTGCTTTAAATTGGTGATCCAAAATATTTGAATATCTTTTTTAACAAGTTTCAGTTCAGGATAGTGATTGTGATGTAATCTTTCATTGCAGGTGTTTCCCCCTCTCCAGCTGATTCCACGGAACATAACACTGATTATTGGAGCACTCTTCCAGGTAGGCACACACATTTTGTGGTTTTATGTGTATTTTCTTCAGCAGACCCAGATTTGTTTCTTTACTACAATAGGAAGGAACTTGGACATTTGGCTCAGGGATATATGTGTCCAAGTGATCCAGCATGATCTAGTATGATGATGAGCGATGGCCTTTTATTATCTGGAAGTTGCAATTAAACATTGATTCCTTGGTTAGTGAAACTGTAACTTCACCCAAGGATATACTGGCAGTTTACGTGGACATCAAAAAAAAGTATTCAGGCTCCTCAGGACGAAGTTTTAAATATCAACATAAGGTAATTAGGTTGCCAGTCGAAATTTTTGTTTTTGAGACAATCATCAGAGATAGGATAGAAAGTTTTATGCATATTTTATCATGAGTCCTTTGATCAGTTGTTAAGAAGCATTGGGACTGTGATTTCTGTTGCAGGTTTTGAGTAAGGGTGGCCCAACCCCACAGTGTACAGTGCTGTTCTCAATTGCCAGTGATGACATTGCTCTTGTGTCCAGCAGTGGACTACTTGATGCACAAGAACTGGGCTCAACAAGGGTCATAGGTCAAGCTGTAGGTCAGGACCCAGAGACAGGGGAGACAATCATATATTCACAGGTAAAAGCTTTGATTTCACTTGATTATATACCAACTTTAAATCACTGAATTTTAGGAAATATCTCATTTTTCTTGTTAATTCATTGTAACTCTGTGGCACACAGCTGTCACTGACTCTGAATTTAAGTCATACGCATAGTGAATTTCAATATTGTAATCACTTACACCATGCATATGTGCTTGCCGTGTGAGGAGGGCTGTGGTTAACTGATAAATAAAGTGACAATGCATTGTTTTATTGTTCCACAGGATGAAGCACAGGTACACGTCGTGCCTCTGACTGACATCAGAATCCACGCTCCACTGACACGCCTTCAAACTGGGACACGGGTAAGAGGAAGGAGCTGTGTTGTAATCATAGGGGAATTTTACATGACGCTTAAACACTTGATATATGTTATGTGCTATGTCCCTTTCATAAGCTGAAGATGTATCTAATGTGAACATATCATCAATGAGATTTTTGCTTGATTTGGACACAATAATACCAATGCATCTAGTAGAGTCATCAACAGGCTTTCCCAGAGACTTGTTATTTTTCCAATGGAGGAATAAAAAAAAACCATGTTGAGATATTTGTGTGTGTTCCAGATGCCAATGTATGCGGTCGGAGCCACTGAACACGAGACTCCCTTCACTTTTGGCAGTGCCATTCCACCTCTCACATTCTCCTGGTCCGTCTCCAACAAAGATGTGGTCTTTCTGGAGAACGTCTTTCATTCGGTGAGTTGCTGCTCTTTTGGTATATGTAAAAATTGTGAAATTGTGTTTTTTTTCTCCTAAATAGGTAAAGTCAATGACATTCTGTACCAAGCTATGATATCATTTACACTAATGTGAAAGGATCATATTTATTTTATTCAAACGACTGTTTTGAATTCATATCTGCAAATTTCCCTCTGAATTGATGAATATGATTTTGTGTGTTTGCCCTACAGAGTGGTGTCTTTCCTCAAGAACAGAGTGACTTTGCCAACCAACTGGTTGCTAGGGAACCTGGCAGGGTGACAGTCAAGCTAGAGGTCACCCCAACAAGATTCAGAAAAGTCCAAGTCAGTGGTCATGTACAAATGACGGATGAGCTACAGATCGAGGTAGGGTCAGTTTGGGACATCATCGTTAACATTATTGGGGAGCTACTACAATGTTATAACAAATCAGTGCTGTTTTATTAGGGCTGGTCCGGAACCATAGATGAGGGATTGGAGGAACTTTTTTGACCCCACCACCCTTAAAAAGTGATTTGATATAAGGAATGTTAGACAGATTTGGTTTAAACTCTACCAATCATAATAGATGGATACACGTGCCTCCCACCTCTCCCATACAATAAATCATGGAACAGTCCTTTATAGGTAATACTGTAGTAGAATGATGTTTCAGCATTATGAGGATAAGATTTGTCAATCTACAGGTGTTCCAGAAACTTGCTGTGATCAGTCCGTCAGTATGTGATGGTAAACTTCTGATGACCCCAAACACTGAGGCTGTAGTAAAAACAAACAGGTACCACACATCCTACCTACTCCTACAGTGTAAACTCTGTAATCAAACACTTTTCTTGTAAATGTGAATTGTTTTTTCAATGAAATAGCTGAAGATTACTTACTTTTTAATTTAAATGAACTTGTAAACCTAGCAACACATGAATTTGTAATAAGACATTTATTGTTGAATCCAATGGGCTTTCTGCCTAGATGACTAACCCTGTGCTCCTATAATATATGTTACTGTGTACTTCTATAATACTGTGCTGGTGCTACTGGGGATATTCTATAATTGAACAGAGACGGTGCAGCCAAGGTGACCTACACAGTGCTGCCATCCAGTGGTGACCTGAAGGTGGTTGCTGTGGGAGACGGAGGGTTGCTCAGTTCTGGGCCTAAAGCTGGGGAGGCTGCCCTTCATATCACATCTCAGGAGGAGTTTGGTACCAACCAGACACTTGTCGTCCTCATCAAGGTCATTGTCAATGTCACCATGGTGTCAAGTGTCATGTTCAGATATCTTAAATCTCTGGATACTTTAAAAAGGGGACATTTTTGTGGTGGGGAAATACTATAGTTTTGCATCGAGTGCAAAAATATCCACATACAAATTTTTATAGCTTAAAAAAACCCAGAATATATAGATTTCAAAACTAGTGCAGACACCAAAATGTCCACATCGCTATCAATTCTCTTCCTTCAAAGTCTCAATCTTGTTTTCATGGAAACATAAGGTACAATTTGTTTACATGTTGCCATTTACATTATTTTTTTTCCAAGGTAAGGTAACACCACAAATTCAATATGGAAGTGAATATTTCCTGTCAAGTAACTTTACCGACCTTACTATCCCAAATTTAGTATACTTCTGTGACCGCTAAGTGCAATCTGTATATTTCTGTGACCTTTAAGTAAAATCTGTATATTTCTGTGACTGCTGAGTAAAATCCGTATATTTCTGTGACCTCTAGGTAAAATCTGTATATTTCTGTGACCCACCAAGTAAAGTCTGTATATTTCTGTGACCTCTAAGTAAAGCCTGCATATTTCTGTGACCTCTAAGTAAAGTCTGTATATTTCTGTGACCTCTAAGTAAAATCTGTATATTTCTGTGACCTCTAAGTAACTATACTTTTATGATCAATAGGTGAAACCTGTGTCCTACATGATGATCAATTCTGACACTGTATTGAGGACGTCCGGAGGACTGCTAAAAAAGATTCCTGTTGGAAGTACACTCCACTTATCTGTCAGTTACCATGATAACATTGGAGAACAGTTTTATGCTACAAATGTGAAAATGCACTACAGATTCAGCAGGTAATATTTCTTACATGAAGGAATTCTATATCTCCATTGTTTCTCTCTGGAAAGTTTTCTTTTAGATTGAGGTAATGGAAGATGTGGTTAAAAGTAAAATTCTATACAATATTTCCCTGGAGATTAAAGATTCTTTTGTAATTTTCATATTGAACATCTTGCTCAGTTTTATCGTCATCACTTTTACAGGATCAAAATAATTTGTTTATTTTTCTGCTGTCAATCATCCATACTTTCATTATTGAAACACATTTTCTATGGTTAATGAAGTTTACATTGTATGCTGACTCTCCTACTTATTTTCCACTAGGTACGACCTGGTACAAGCTGGCTATGGCGTGGAAAACAACACCCTTGTTGTCAAAGTGTCGGATGTAGGCCAAACCATACTCAAGGTCAGTGGTTAGTGGTCAAGGTCATGAAGTTGACAAATCCCCAAATGTTTGACGAGCATTCAACAAAGTCTGATATATGATGACATACAACAATCTTACACAGTTTGGTGTTTAAAATGGTTTGTGTTAGAAAGTGAAAGTTTATAAATTAAACTCAGCATGGCCACACCAGAACTATGTCTAGACACTTAAATTGAATATACATCTAGAAAATATGTTTTGCAATATCATTGATCATTGCATTGTGGAATTCTAATGCTACATACAAATATTTCTCGGGTGATATAAATTGGGTCAATTTTAAATTCACAGGGTTTTCTTTAGGAACAGGCAGCAGGCCAAAATGACTGGTGCAGTTCTGATTTTGCCCTGTTCAAATCACTGTTTCTTATATATCTCAAAAGCAATTTTACGAAAGTTTGCTGGTTAAAAATATCATTTGGTCTATTCAATTAGAAGTTACTGAGAAGCCTGTCTAGAATATTGTATCGACATATCTGCCTGGATCCTTGAGAAACACTGGCCATTGTTTGTCATGTCAGTACCTTTCCCCCTCCAGTTGGTCGGGTGCTTTTCCCTAAAATGTCACTGTTGTGTTCGTAGGTTTGGGACAAACAGAATCCCTGGTTAGCTGACTACATCAACATTCATGGGGACTATGCCATTATGCCCATCAAAGTTGTCATGTCTTTGGGAGAAATTGTCTGCTTCCAGTCATCACTGGTGTCGGAGAAAGGTATGTAGATCCCATTATAACTTGACTGCCATATTTTTTTCCATATTTTCACACCTTTAATAATCTTAAGCTACTTGTTATGAAATTAATGCATAACATTTCGATTTTCTATAACAGTGTTATTTTTGTTTTAATTATGGAAAATATTTGTTGGTTCATACTGCGAATTTGAATCTGTTAATTTGTACATACCCTGGTATATTTATTATGGTGTTAAAATAGAGAGAAATAAAACCTAATGGTGATGGGGAACACTAAACAGTTTTACAGTAAATAAAAACTAATGGTGATGGGGAGCACTAAACAGTGTTACAACACTTACAGAGGTTTTTAACAATTGTGAAAAAAATGTAACCTGTCAATACATAGAGTAAAAACTTCATGTCTGATTCTTTATTTAATAGGATACCGAGGAGCTTGGTATTCGAGCAATGGTAACATCTACGTGGACAAAGACTCGGGCATCGCCATGGCGAAAGGAGTTGGACAAGCCTTTGTCGACTATAACATATCCAACACAGTGTCCACATACATGGAGGTCAGAAGCCAGTATGATAGACCGAACATTGATCAAATGTCTAAGGATAACGTCATGTTAAAATGCTTACCTCTTCATAGGGATTGAATGGCATTTTTTTAAATTTTCATGCCAGTATGAATGCAAATCAGCTAGGGCTTCATGTTTAATATGGATGTAACTGATTTGTGTTCATACCGGCATGAAATTTTAAAAAACGCTGTTCAATCCATATATTTGCATTTTTACTATAGAACAATTGTTGAATTTTATTTATTTGTTCTTAAATTATTAATTTATTACTGCGTTTTGTGTATGCGTCATCCTTTAAACGTTATTGGCAGAACAGCTCTATTTAAATAAAATTGGCGCCAATAATTAACCGTATTCATTTGAGCGTTTGATGCAGGGGCATCTTCCATGTTATCCGAAGCGAAGAGATAAGTCTCTCATTGAACAAGGTTAATCTATGACATCATAAGTGAACCACTTGTTAAGTCACGAGAGTTTTTGTTTCATACTCAAATGAAATGATGCTAGTTATGTTCATATAGTGGGTTGCAGCGCAAATGTAAATATATGAATATAAATCACCTTTCTGATATTGATATTTTTTCTGTCACTAAAATTAATATAATTAAACTGGACATTATCATTATCAAAACATCCTGTAGTAAAATCATAAAAATTATTATGGAAACATTGCTACGTTACAGGTAACAGTTTCTCCAATACGTAAGCTAACCTTGGACAACAGCCCTGACCACTTGACTAACGTCGAGACTCGAGGAAAAACTCCTTTCATCACTGTTATACTGGATGGCGAAAATGAAGTTCTAGGTATGTCGTTTATTTGAAATTAACCTGGTTGGACAAAAAAAGTTTACTTCTGATACAAAGTAGAGTGAAAACTGCTCTGTACTAAACCTCAGTAGTGAACAACCAGTAAGCAGTTTAGTCACCTCAGTTATCAATAATGGTTATATATGTGTGATGAGATGAGAAAGGATCCTTTTCTATACTTCAGGTGAAAACTGCAGTGCCAAAATCCAGGAGAATCATTACCACCCTAAATACATCCCATTCTGGTGTGAACTAGAACTCTCCACAAAGACGAACGACATCGGAATTGAGGATCTGTTCACCACCCAACCAGACTTTGACCCTAAGACAGGTAAGTCCTGCTAAGATAGACACATTCATGTGATGTTACTTAGGGAGGTTTGGTATCTCTTACAAAGAGGTATATATTAAATAGTGAAATCCACAAAACTTGTCACAGTTTTCTTTTAATCTCACTAGAGGCTTGCTTGATTGCAGAATTCTGAACCTCTTTTTCATCAGATTTGAAATAACTTCTGGTAAATTCTGTATGTGTGTTCTCAATGACTGATTACTCATGATAATTCTACCAGCATCATGTATTAGTTCAAATCACTGCTTGAGAGAATACCACAGTATTCGATAAATTTGAATTCCAGGAAAGTTTGGATGTCAGATAAATCAGGTGTCCAGACCAGTGATGTTACAACAGATCAGTACACTAAATGTGGATGTGGCCTTGTCAGTGGGCGTGGCATCCCGCGAAGGTCAACCAGAGGTCATGGCACAGCAGCATGTATTCAGCTTCCTGCCCTCATTTTACATCCATCAAAGTGAGGTCCATCTGTCTACACTAAACCAACTGTCTTCTATCCGAGTATCCACAGTGTCCAGTCTCACCGACTGTATAGAGGTAAGGTGGTCACTCAGTATTGTTCTATCAGAGTATCCACAGTGTCCAGTCTAACCGACTGTAGAGGTAGGGGGGTCACTCAGTATTGTTCTATCCGAGTATCCACAGTGTCCAGTCTCACCAACTGTATAGAGGTAGGGTGGTCACTCAGTATTGTTCTATCCGAGTATCCACAGTGTCCGGTCTCAAGTATCCACTGTGTCTGGTCTCACCGTCTGTATAGGGGTAGGGTGGTCACTCAGTATTTTTCAATCCGAGTATCCACAGTGTCTTGTCTCACCGACTGTATAGAGGTAAGGTAGATACTCAGTATTGTTCTATCCGAGTCTCCACAGTGTCTGGTCTCACCTGTAGAGGTAGGGTGGTCACTCCGTATTGTTCTATCCGAGTACCCACAGTGTCTGGTCTCACCGTCTGTATAGAGGTAGGGTGGGCACTCAGTATTGTTCTATCCGCGTATCCACAGTGTCCGGTCTCACTGACTGTATAGAGGTAGGGTGGTCCCTCAGTATTGTCCTATCCGAGTATCCACAGTGTCCAGTCTGACCAACTGTATAGAGGTAGGGTGGTCCCTCAGTATTGTCCTATCCGAGTATCCACAGTGTCTGGTCTCACCTGTAGAGGTAGGGTGGTCACTGAGGATTGTTCTATCCGAGTATCCACAGTGTCGGGTCTCACCGACTGTATAGAGTTAGGGTGGTCACTCTGTATTGTTCTATCCAAGTATCCACAGTGTCTGGTCTCCCCGACTGTATAGAGGTAAGGTAGTAACTCAGTATTGTTCTATCCGAGTACCCACAGTATCCACAGTGTCCAGTCTCACCGACTGTATAGAGGTAAGGTAGTAACTCAGTATTGTTCTATCCGAGTATCCACAGTGTCGGGTCTCACCGACTGTATAGAGTTAGGGTGGTCACTCTGTATTGTTCTATCCAAGTATCCACAGTGTCTGGTCTCCCCGACTGTATAGAGGTAAGGTAGTCACTCAGTATTGTTCTATCCTAGTATCCACAGTGTCTGGTCTCACTGTCTATATAGAGGTAGGGTGGTCACTAAGTATTGTTCTATCAGAGTATCCACAGCGTCCAGTCTAACCGACTGTAGAGGTAGGGTGGTCACTGAGTATCGTTCTATCCGAGTATCCACAGTATCCACAGTGTCCAGTCTAACCGACTGTAGAGGTAGGGTGGTCACTGAGTATTGTTCTATCCGAGTATCCACTGTGTCCAGTCTCACCAACTGTATAGAGGTAAGGTGGTCACTCAGTATTGTTCTATCCGAGTATCCACAGTGTCTGGTCTCAACGACTGTATAGAGGTAGGGTGGTCACTCAGTATTGTTCTATCCGATTATCCAGTGTCTGGTCTCACCGACTGTATAGAGGTAGGGTGGTCACTCAGTATTGTTCTATCCGAGTATCCACAGTGTCTGGTCTCACCGACTGTATAGAGGTAGGGTGGTCACTCAGTATTGTTCTAGCCGAGTATCCACTGTGTCTGGTCTTACCTTCTGTATAGAGGTAGGGTGGTCACTCAGTATTCTTCTATCCGAGTATCCACAGTGTCCAGTCTAACCGACTGTAGAGGTAGGGTGGTCACTCAGTATTGTTCTAGCCGAGTATCCACTGTGTCTGGTCTCACCGACTGTATAGAGGTAGGTCTCACCGTCTGTATAGAGGTAGGGTGGTCACTCAGTATTGTCCTATCTGAGTATCCACAGTGTCCGGTCTCACCGACCGTATAGAGGTAGGGTTGTCACTCAGTATTGTCCTATCCGAGTATCCACAGTGTCCAGTCCCACCAACTGTATAGAGGTAGGGTTGTCACTCAGTATTGTCCTATCCGAGTATCCACAGTGTCCGGTCTCACTGACTGTATAGAGGTAGGGTGGTCACTCAGTATTGTTCTATCCAAGTATCCACAGTGTCTGGTCTCACCGTCTGTATAGAGGTAGGGT